ACTGCTTATGAAATGTATTTTATCATGTCATGATAAGATTAGCAAGCTTTTTTTCTAGTTACCTTGGTAAAGCCAAAGAGTAGCGCAAATCTTATGCTTTAATAAATATATTTAGTTGAAAGCAGCAAAACCCCATTTGTTAATATTTGAGATAGTTTCATATTCTAGTATAATTTTGCAATATAACATTTATTTAAATTTTTAGAATCTAAGTGTACATGTATTTTGACTTTTGAAAAAATATTCCTAATTAATGCTTGTCTGTCTACCTACTTAAAAGGAAGAAAAAGTGAAAGGTGAATGGTGAAGCACTTTTGGGGCTAGTCACATTCAAAACATAAGACAATTCTGCAATGTCTAACTCTTGAAGCAGAAGTTGCCCTTCAATGATATAATTTTGTTAATGGAAATCCTACCTAAACCGAAAAATATATTTAGGTCCTATCATGAATGTTAGCTATGAAGCCATAGCTTTCCCCTCTCACCCCACAGGCTGAAACTTCAAATAGCTGCTGTAAAGCCTGTTAATGTAGTTTTAAAAATAGTTTGACTGACTTGATATTTAATAACTGTACATCATTCTTTAAAAATTTTTGGCTAAAAATCTATCGTGCTTTCCAAAAACTATTCCTCTGTATGTTGAGCTTTCAGGTAGTAATATTTTTACAGTTATGGGAGGGAAAAAATATTTCAGTTTTTTGTTTCTAACTGGCCATTCAGACTAAGGATGGGTATTTCATTACACATTATGCACACACACACATACACGTAAACGAACGGAGATGTTGGGACATCTGTAGCTAGATTTATTTTACTGAGTCACTACTGAAGCTGGTTTCATGTTCTGAAATATACTGAGATATGTCTGAAAAGGACCATATGAGACAGAATGTTTATCATGAGTCATACTAATAAAAATAAATTGTATGTAAGTAGACATTTAGAGTATTTGTATTTGAACAATCCCTCACTATTTTTTTTCTGTTTTGATTAACAGTTACGTTTTTTGTCTTTTATTATGTATAGCTATGAGGCAGCAGCTGAAGTCTGAGAGTGAATACTAAGGTTAAAAATGGTCACAGTTAATGCTCATGTTGGATGAACTCTGTAGTTTATTAAATCTTTTTCTCAAAATTCCATTAACTGTTTAAAGTAGAATGTAACAGTGCTTGGGAAATTGTTCAGTAAAATTTTTTTCTTAAGATTTTTTTTGTGCATAATTAAAATGATATATACAAAAATTCTGTTTCCTCACCTGTTTTTCAATTTTAAAGTTAAATTAATCTTATATTATATTATTGATTTACTTCAGTGGAATAGATATGACCTGTGTTTTAATATAAAAAAAAAAAAATCTCAAGGAGTTTTGCCTACAGAAATTTAGAACAGAGTAAAATGAATTTCAGGATTAAAAAAAACAAAATACTTGTTGTCTGAGTTATTTAAAACTGAGAGCAGAGAAGAAAATGTATGGAGCTAAGTTTAGGTATATGACTTTACACTTTCACTAGCTAGGCCTTGGAAGTCTCTGATAAATTCTCTCTTACACTGTCTTAATCTCTCTTATACTTCAATGCATATCTCTAAGGGCAAATTGTTATGGCATGGCACATTTTCTTTGATTATATTATTTTCTTGCAAATTCCAGAGTACAGTACCTTAATTTTGATAATGAAAGAGAGTTGCTTTTGAGAACTTGGGTTACTGTAGGATTTTAAAGCCTCTCTGTGGGTGAGATTTGATTTAATCCCTCAAGTATTTAAGAAGCATTCCTGAGACCATCACCAAAAAGTGGCAAGCTTAGCACTTGCAGGTTATTGACAGGATGCCTCACAGGAGAGACATTTATCTGTAAGGGTGTTGTTTTTTAAAGAGGAATAAAGTCTGTCTTAAGCTCTGGGAATGTAGACACGTTCTGAAATACAGAAGGGATAGAGCAGTTTCTTTTCATACAACTCGTGGCACAGGGATATAGCAGTTCACAGAGGTAAGAATTACACGTTGACGAAACTACACAGTAACTAATTTCCTATCAGATAAAAATATAAGTGCTTGAGGATTAAGAAAGTCTTAACAGTCCCTGTCATAAATTCGGTTCAGGCATACTCAAAAGTAAGTAATTATTCAGCAATAAAATTGTATCCTTATATATATGCCTGTACCCAAATATATGTTGGGAGGATGGCAGAGGTTGCCACAGGGTTTGTTATTCTTTCTGGGTTTAAAAAACCCAGGAAGAACTAAATCATGTGTTCTGAGATTTGAGCATATGAGACTGCTCAGTCTGTTTGCCTCCTGTAATCTTTTTGAGAGAACTCTCAGTGATTAACTGGTCATGAAATCTTGTCAGCATTAGCAGATCTTTACTAATTCCATACCCATCCCAACAAACAAACAAACACTGCGGTACTGATTCTGCTTTCACATATCCCAGTGTGGTCCTGTTCCCAACAAAGTATTTCCTTCAGATTTATATAGCACAAATAGAAGAATAATCAGATCCTTTCCTCTTATTTTATCTATGGACTATGCATTGAGTCACTTATTTTAAAGCAGTTGTGATTCAATGGGGATGTTTTTAATTTGCTGCCTGTTCTCTCTACTTCTGAGGAAAGAATTTTGTAAATGCTGAATAATTTTAGAACATGTTTTCTTGGTTAAGGGTTGGATCATATTTTAAATTAGTTTTAAGAGGAAGGAAATAGTGTAAATGCTGTGGAATTCAGATAAGCACTGTGCATAGGAAATAAGTACTTTAATTTAGGGTGCCTAGAATTGGTAGGTCAAGCTGATGATAATAAAGGACCAGATCTTAACTTTGTTTCAAAGAACATGTAATCAATATTGTCTCTCCTGTTTTATTTCTTTTTTGCTTGAGAAATTATTTTGGTGAAGCTGAAATGTGCAATTGCTTAAGTATTCCACAGGGTGTCATGATGTAGTTGTTGGAATCATTAATACTTGGATGAAAGTAAAGAAAGAAACATAGTATGCAGTCCTCTGAATGCCAGTTAATGTAATTTTAGATGTGACTAACACACATGCCATAAAATAAAAAGTTCTTAACTCATTAACACATGTATCTTATTTCTGTATCTGTATAAAATAAACATATGAAGAAAGAGATTACGAGAGGTCGTTTACAAGAATGAGCTATATTCTGTGTCAGATCTTCCCAAAAATCTTTCTATGTATACATCTTAGTATTTTATAGTTTACAGAGCAAGTGGAATCTTTGGCTCATAGCATTAATATGACATACCAAACTGTGTATTTTTTAAAAAAAAAAAAGAGAGAAAAAAAGAAAAAAGGTTTTGTATTTGCCATACTGTTATGAGGAATTTCTATTTAATGTGTGACCCTCCAAATTTACTTTCAAATTTTGTTTTATTTTTTAAGTTCTTATGAAATTTAAATTTATTTAAACAAACTTTATACAATGCATACAACTCTACTGTGGATTTTATGTTAATTGATGATATATATGATATCAAAATTTAACTTCAGGCTTTTTTTCTTGCACAAGTATAATGTAGTAGGGGGAGAATTTTTACCAAAGTATGCCTCAAATTAAAATGTGTTTGATTATGGTGATACATTTTTGCAGATAGAGACCAAATTTTTATTGACAACTGTTGACTTCTGCGGAGCTGCACATGCATTGAATTCAGCTTCAGATTTGTAAAAGAATCTTTAAACACAGTTTATCAGTAATTATGAAGGATCCTGCTTCAGTTAAAATCTGGATTGCTTGAAATGTAAATTACTTTATGAAATGAACAGCAAATCTTCATTTATTTCCGTAGCAACAGAATGTGATCTGAAGTGTAAAATCTTTGATGAAACTAAGAATTTGAGTCTCTGACAATAATAATTTGTCTAATTTTAACAGCATATTTAAAACCAGTTTTGAACAAATAATACCTTATGGATTTAGGCATATTTTATTGTCTTATCTAATGTGGCATACTAAAATAATAGACTAGCTAATTTTCCTCTTACTATTTATTTGTACTAAGTATTATGGAAAAAATTCGATTTTTATGCCAGTGGTATAGTGATGAGTGGCACTGAGAGTATGAAGGGAGGTTGATTCTTCTGACAGACAATTAATAAGATTTTACAGATATGACATACTGCATGTCCTCTCTGCCTTACTCCCAGGAGGTCACACTGCTGTAGAAGGTGATTGCCATGACTGTCGGAAGCTGAGTGCTTCTATTCAGTTTTGCTTCTAAAATCTGCATAGTCCTGTGTACAACTGTTTGTGCAAAACCTTTCTGACCTAACCGCCATAAATCATGACCTGTTTAACAAACCAGTGTGTTTACAGGTACCTTAGCAGTATGTTTAAGTACTTGCTCGAGGAAGAACTAGACTTGTTTAAAGACATTTTAATATCCAAAGTTGAGTGACATACCTTAAATCTTCATGGAGATGAAGAAAGTGAAGGGAAATAGTGGCCTTAGGGCTTTGGGTTGTTTGGATTTTTTTTGTTTCTGGGTTTGGCTTTTTGAAATATAAACATCCTGATCTCTATCCAGGTGAGTTTCCTTTACAGCAGGGCATCGTGGGAGAAGAGGTTTTTAGATAGGTAGGTTATTATCGTTCTTCCTCAGTTTAAGGCTCACTGAACTCGCTTTGCCTCTCCCTTTCTTTGTCCTTCTTATTGCAACTAGGATAATCTAAAGGGGTAATTCCACACATAGTTTGAATTACTGAGTTAATGCAATACCTTAAACTAAAGTGATTAATATCACAAAATATTTAAATACCTGACTGCACTGAGATTTTCTCTATAATTTATTAGAAAATGATACTTTTTAGCCAAGGAAAACAAAATAGAATGGACAGAAGTTAGAAACTGTTGATATTATACCATGTAAAAACTTGTCAGTATACTCAGGCACATGTATACTTTCAGTTGATCCTAGCACCCAAGTCCCTCTTTGAATGTTAAGACAAGGTTGATGAATATTATGATCTGTTTTTATTTTCAGATTGAAAACCTACAGGAACAACTTAGGGACAAAGACAAACAACTAACTAATCTAAAAGACAGAGTGAAGTCATTGCAGACGGATTCTAGTAACACAGACACAGCACTAGCAACCTTAGAAGAAGCTCTATCAGAAAAGGTAATGTTTTCTCATGGAACAGCATTATGTGCTGCTCTTGTGGGTGAAGCGTGTCCAGAAAATGTCTTTTTAAGTTGCTCTGGCACCTGTAACAAAGCCTATGGACCTTGTCAGGAGAGCAGGTGGCTCTGTTCTGTTAGGATGAGGAAGGAATGATTCCTGACTGATGAACTGAAACAGGACTCCAAGGTAAAGAAGGATGTCCTTTTAAATGGGGTGGTGTAAATGGCCCAGAACATGGGAAGATTTTCCCTTAGTCAATGGGATGAGTGGTTGTCCCCAGAAAGAACTGCAAGTCATCGACACATGACTTAAAGAAAGTAGAGTTTTGGGTATTTTATGTATTATGTACCATTCTGCAGTATGTAATCCTAGGAAGGTATTTGTGACTGTATATGACTTTAAAATGCCACTGTGGTGTTGGCACTAACACCTAAAATGCTAATGTTGGATTTTTTATTTCTTTGTATGTTTAATCACCTTACTAACATTTGCTTGGTCAACAACAGTGAAAAAAGTTTGCATTACTATTACTTCTGTGGCTTCATATGGATAAGTTTACAGCTTTTATGCCGTAAAGAAAGTACGTGCATTTTGTTAATCTTTCACTGCTAATCTGGACACAAGGCTCACCAATCTCACAGCATATTATGAAAAAATGTCACAAAGTACTTTTAAATCTGTTTTTCCTCCTTATATTCCGTCTTTCCTGGATTAGTCTATGTTGTCACTTTCCCAAAATGCTCATAGAGGCAGCTGAGATTCTAAAACAGAGTTTAAAACCATCATGTTACTGTTTTCAATGTAGAAAGCAGAGTGATTGTCACTGCAAATCTGTCAGTTCTCTTCCGCAACAGAGCGTGAAGTAGCTCGTCAAAACCCAAAGAAATCTTGTATCCCATTTTCTGCCTCAGCTATATCTGCAGCACTTCAGAGAAAATGCACTTATGCAATGCTTCTTAGCGGGGGCAATTTGCTCAGTTGTAATCTGTCTTCAATTGTAATGTATTTCTCTATTGAAAATATGAAACTAATGACAGTTTCCCAGGGTTTGTAGCAGAAGCAGCAAATGCGGAGGTATTGAATACAACATGCACAGTCATCTTCTCGCTACCAGGAATGTTAGGTTAAAAAAGGTTAAAAACTACTGGGTCAAAATCTAACCGAAATTAATGAGTGGCAATTAGTTGTTTTCTAGTCATTTTGTACCAGTACCACTCTGAAATCTGTTGAAATAAATTAAAACTAGTAAATAAATGTTGAAGTTTTTATAATTTTGAAGAAGCTTTGTATGTATCTGAAAATAAAATATTCTATTATTGTCAGATACAAAAATTGTAAAATTTTACTAAATTCAGGATGCATTGTTTTTGAATATGGTAGTGAAGATTTTTCCCAGAGTTTGCTTAAAAATGTTGCTATAGAATTTGTTTATGTATATGATAACTTGAAATATCATAACACTAGAGACCCTGAGGGTATGGAAATTTTGTGTCAAGCTTAATTTGATTGCTGTAATAAAGGTTCAAAGTCTGATAAATAATAAATGATGCTAGTTTTAATGCTTTGGAAAAGTTACTTAAACTTAGATCCTTCTCTGAAATGTATTTTTGCAATTCATGTCTACTTCATTTGGAATTGCATGGACATACTCAAACAGACCTTTTTTAAAAGAATCAGTGTGAACAGTGGTTTTTCCAAGTGGAATTGATTAGAACTCACGTGGGGTCCCTAAGGTTGAATTCTGTGCAAAGTAGTAACTTTGCTTACGTATAGTCAGCTGAGAATGGCATCTTTCCTGCAGTGTTTGCAGGCTACTCCGAGACACTTATACAGTGAGTATTATGGGATGTTTTCCTCTGCCACAGATTTCTGTCTTTTTGCAGCTGATGAAGTTAATGGTATCTTTTGTAAGCCAATGCTTTTGAGAAGTGGCCTGAAGCTGAGTTGTGCTGTGGTGTCTGGTGATGGTTTCAATCACTTATGGAGAGATTGTTACTTGTAGAAGTTAGGTGGCAGTATATAAAGGGAAGAACTCTATATGTAAGTGATATGCTTGTCGTTCTATATGACTTCAGAAATACTACTTTGTTAACCTAAGGAAAAGATACACAGAATTATTAAATAATAGCCTTGTTCTACAAATGAGCTTTATAACTGAGTGTCAATTATTTTATGACATACCCAAATCGTTATGCAAATTAGTGCCTGCATTAGAATAGGATCATATGACTTTAATTTTAACAGAAAATTTTCATTTGTTTGAATTTGTGTTATTTTCCTGGCTATTTTTCTGTATTTTGAAATCTGTAAGCTTAATTAAATTATTAATTAAGTCAATAATATTTTTCCAATTTCTGAACAGATACATAACATTATAGCTCCTGCACAGTTACTGGATGATTTACAGTGGCTGTCAATCCAGGTAGCAATACTGGTGATTAAAATCTAGAATACAGAATGTCAGTTCTGAAAGACTTAAAATATTTACATGCCCTTTAAGTTCATTGCCTAACTTGGCTTATGAGAAAATCATGTTATAAAAATTTAACTTCATGATGATTCTGATGGATTTTTTTTTTTAATGTGTGACGAGTCATTGTGTGCCACTGGCAAATCTTTTTACAGTTGGGGATATTAGATTAAAATTAGTATATTAGATTAAAAAGAAAAAGGAGAAAAGCAACACCACAGAGTAGAATTAATATGAGCTTTTGAGAAACGGGGTACTTGATCTTAGAGCATTAGTCACAATGAGGAGGATGTTTCCAAAGTAAAAGCATCTCTCTGTATGATTCTGATTGTTTATTGTACAGAGAGATAATGCACAATTTCTTTCCTATTGTAAGTTTCTCGAAGGCCACGCTTTCAAGCGTAGGTATCTCAGTCTGAAGTGTAGTCTCTAGGATGTACTTATACTTTGAAGGAATTCAGTAGGCATCTTCTAGAAGTTCCAAATGAACTCTTATGTCTAGCTTTTTTGTGTCTTCTGGTAGCTAAATACCTTGACAGTTTGCTTACATATATGTCTCATCATTCCTATTTTGGCCAGCTTTCCAATTCATCCTAGCTGCTCTCAGTGAGTAACCTTTCTCACCCCTATTTCTGCAGTAGCATTCTTAAAACCTGCAGACTTTATCAAAAGTTATTAACTTTTTCCACTGCAAATACTGATAGAAATGCAGAATAGATTTTTGTCCAAATAGTTTCTTATTAACAAGTGCATCAATATAATAGTTATTAACTTTTTCCACTGCAAATACTGGTAGAAATACAGAATAGATTTTTGTCCAAATGGGGCAAAACAAGAACCTTCGGTGATAGTTTCTTATTAACAAGTGCATCAATATAAGTACTTTTATCAATTTCAAGGTGTAATACTGTCAAGAAAAGTTGCTACTGTCATCCAAGAATACCTGATTTTCATGGAAATACATTATATCTTCGTGGGTTTTTTGCTCCCCCCACCCCACTCCCAGCAATTGCATCAGGCCTAGTTGGCAGCTATATCATCTTGCTTTATACTCAGATTAGGCACAATTTCTGTGTAGTTTCAATAGTTTTAGAGTTTTAATTAAAAAAAGACAAAAATATTCCAAGAGCATCAAGGTTACATTGTAATAAACAAAAAATAATTTTACTCCTATTAAAACAAAAAAAGTTTGAAAATCAGAATACGCAAAACTGCTATCAGCGTCCTGGGTGTTTTAACAAGAAACTTTTCAAAGAATATCTCGGCTCTTGGACTGGCCCAAAGCAGCTCAAGAGGTTGCTTTCATGAAGCTGATATTTATAAAGTTGGTCCTACTGTAGCAGCATACAGCAGATAAGCAATTGAGTATGTCTGATAACAGAGCTATATGCTGTGGCAATTCAGTTCCTGCTTCTGTGATAAAGTGCAAATAGATTAGACCTGTGAGGTCCTAGATTAGTGTGTAAGGAAAGCTCGCCAATGCAAATAAGACTGAAACAAGAACACATTGTTGGGAATTCTGCAAGCTAGCTGTTAATCAAGTAAAACATGGTATATTAGGGCCTTTTAACACGTTTTTGACATTTAGCCTTATGCAGCTGACATATAAATTAGTCATCTTTTGTGATTGACTGAGAAAAAATTTATACTGTTCATTAATAAGGTGAAATAGTGTTATGTTTAATTTGTTATAGAAGAAAAAAAACATTTCAGTAAATAAATCTTCAAGAAGGAATTGGTATAAAACTAAGCCTGAGTATAACTAAGTGGATTCTGAATAGTTATTAAACTATTCCAATTAGTGGAGGCTGGACTTTTAACAATATTCAAGGAATTAAGAACTTATATTATTTGTTACTAGGAATAAACTTGGAAGTTATTTAGTATCCCATATGTCTTTCTTACATAATCTATATGGCAACAGCCAGCTAATGTACTATTTTTTTTAATTACTATTTGTTGGTTTGTCATTTGTGTAATACTCAAAAATGTTACAATTGAAGGACCTTCATTCTGTGTGCAAGTATTCCTACCTGAAGTCCTGCCAGGTATGAGTCAAAGGGAGATTTTGCCATTGGGCTGAGTGAAGCCAGGAGTTGTGTACATTGCTAGTGCCAAGGATCTCAGTACCATAGACAGTTGATACTATCTTGGAAGCAGATTTAATTACACAGATCTTATTACAAGATTATTCAGTATAAAACACATTTACTTACAAACTTAAATATAACTACTTATTTGGTAAAGATCTTTATCTAATTGTTTAAATCTGTCTAATAATATTTAACATTAATTTTACTGACATATAATTGCATTATAAGATACTCAATGTGATTAATTTTTTAAAGTTTTGACTACTGGTGAAACAAATTACTACTGCTGAAAGCCAATGTTGTGTAATTAAGAAAAAAAAAAAATCAGAGAAGCATAAATGTTTGAAATGGCTCTGTAAGGAATATATTTGAAATATATAATGTTTTTCACTTAGACCTAGTTTCACATCCAATAATACAGTAGTCATATAGCAAGCAACTATGAAGATTAATACCTCACATCTGCTTTTGATACTTGATCTTAACAGCTTATGTTACATAAAAACCATGTTGCGTCATAGCTTACATTTCCTATATAAATATAGTGCAAAAGTAAGTTGATTTTTAAATACTTAAAATAAAATTAAGGAAATACAAAAATTAAGATTTAACTTAAAATTCTCAAATACTTAATTGCATTTATACTGGGGTCTGCAGTTATCTCTCTAATAAGCAACTAAACATTAGAGACATTCCAAATAAGTAACAATCAATATGAGAAGTTGAATTTTTCTATTTCTTGAATTGGCATTTAAATATTTTCAGGGAAATGCATAACCCACTAACGTAAAATTGATATAAGGGTAGCCAAGTTTTAAATCAGTAATTTAAAATATTTATTTTATTCATACAAAAACTAATTATCACTTTCAAACTCTATACATGCAGGTAATTTGGCCTGTAAATGATAGGAGAGTGAATAAATAGGAGAGCTTCGGCAGATGCTTAGTGAAAGGCAGATATATAGAAGCTGAAAATACAACAGGACACTTAAGGAAAACCTCCCAGTCTTCTGAAAACACTGTGTTCCATTTTCTAGTAGCTAGTTCCTTTGCTATGCAGTATGAAAGGAGGAACAGACAACAAGCAGAAGCAACAGAGAGTTGTCAGCAGAGTAGTTGATGTGGTCAGTGTTGCAAAAGGGATGAATAGTGAAAATGGGAGGAGAGAGACTGAGCAGAAGAGAAGCAACCAATGTCTGAGGAACAGAACCTAGAAAATGTCTCTGCCTATTCCACAGAATCAATGAGACTGCAGATGGCCTCTGGAGATTATCTAGTCCAACCCAGCTGCTCAAAGCAGGGTCAACTAGAGCAATTTTCTCAGGATCTTATCCAGCTGGGTTTTGAATATCTCCAGGTTGGAGACTTCTGGGATGAAACTCATAGCCTTGAGTTTAGGCTCTTTTTTATGCACAGAAGTGTAAACAGTTGGCTTTTAGCAAAATATGTCTTGGGCTTTAAAAAGCACAGAAGTAATCATCAGATCCTCTAGGACTTAGAGGAACATCATACCTTGTGTGTGGAGAAAATGAATTAATAACTAGGATTGTCTGAGCAATATACGCTTTTTAAAAGGGCTGTTACTACTTAAACTAACTTTGATAATGAATATACTCTTTCATTTCATTATAATGACTAAGTTTATTACAAATCACAATGGGATGTACAGCTGCTGAAATGTTACTTGCATTGTAATGTTTGCTGAGGTGTAATAACCACAGCTGAGAGTATATTGATATGGGCAAAGGTAAACTTTATGTATATGTGTAGTGTGTGTGTATGTATATATTTATATCTCCAGTGCGTGTTTGTATATATATGGCAGTATAAGGAATCATGGACAGAGAGAATTAGCATGAGGTTTTTCTTTCTGATGATACTAGGCTTCCATCAGTCTTGTCCAGTGCTATGAAACAGTATTTTAAGTAATGATCCCACTCTTAACTTCTTGGAGATTTCAAGCATAAGTACAAAAGGACTTGAACAGGATCTGTGAGTCTGTTGATGGTTCTACCTCAGCCACGCCACTGGTAATGTAGAACTTCATCAGTCAGGATGTAGTTTTGTCCCATATAGGTTTAACTTTCCTAAATGATGTTGCTTTCACTGCCCTCCTGACTACCACTTCCAAAATGATACTAGGTAGTTCCTCTGATACTCTACTTAAATTGACCTATTCCCAATTCAACTGCAATACTAATGGTTATTTTATTTTACCCTAAATATTTATCTATGATTAGTATTTGCAACCTTCAAGTATTGTTAGAATGTGATTTCTGAAGAATGTAATCAAAGCTTAACAAAACCATACTACTGCATCTGCTTTTTACATTTCACTCCTTGAATTCATCACCTAACCCTTGACTGGTGATTTTCAACAATCCTTGTAGTAGTAACTGGAAATAAGCAAAACATTTAAAAATATGATTGAGTTTAAATGTAGGGTTGTAGGGTTACTGTTAATTAGATGGAGAAAAATCTTCCTTTGGATATGTTAAGTTGTAGCAGGGTGCTTTTTCTGTGTGTTTGACAACCTTCTTTTTTGTCCTCTCAAAATATAAGACATGTAAGCTGTAAGTTTCTGATAGTTAGCAAGTGATTGATTTCTAATTAGATATGGAACCCTGAAAACTTCTTGCAACCGCTATAGAGGCTGCTAGCATTCAAAAACCACAACCAAATTCAAGCTGAGTAAACCAGTCATGGGCTCTGTTTTGAACTTTTATTCAAGACTTCAATCACTTATGATATAGGAAATACATTACTGAGATAAATAACTTTCCATATCTATAACAAGGCTAAATATATTCATATCAGTATAGAAATTGAATGAAATTTCTCTATGATGTTACTCTTGTCAAATATTTAAAACCTTGATCTGATGCTTTTGAAATCGGGGGAAATCTTGCACTGACTTTATGACCATTAACTCAGTCATACTCTACTTCTGAAGGTTGATTTTTCTACATGCTACTTAATGTAAAGAAATTTTATTCTGTCTTTTCTTAGAATGATTCCCAACGTTTCCATTTTGCAATTCTTTCCCTTGTTAGGAAAGAATTATAGAGCGCTTGAAGGAGCAGAGGGAGCGAGATGACAGAGAAAGACTTGAAGAAATTGAATCTTATAAAAAAGAAAACAAAGACCTGAAGGAGAAAGTTAATGCTTTACAAGCTGAACTGACAGAAAAAGAGGTCAGTCTTTTCAGTAAAATCTATGTTCTTCTATCTGTGTCATTGTAGTGAAAGAAAGTGCATTAGGATTACTCTTGAATCATTTTAAGTACTGGAATCCTGCTGCTCCAGTGGTCAGTTTCTGAACTGCTATTTTCTTAAGCATTCTTCACAGTCCTCACTTTTGTACATAAATTATTGCTTCAGTTTTTGCATAGTTGTGTGTCATTATTTTTTCTATTACATAATCCTCCAGTAGGTTCAAATATTCCATTGTTGCTCTTATTTTCATTTGTCAGTTAGAACAATAGACTTCAAAGTGATTGTACATCCAGAATATAACGTCAACTTGTCTGTATTGTGAATGTTTATGTTTTAGTGTATGCCAGCTCCTGTGGTTCCAATTGGTTGTATTCTCAAAACAATGTCTTTTGCTGTCAATGCTTATCTCTGTGTCAACTCTTTCTGGGGAAGGGGAGGGGGAAGAGGATCCAAGTGATTACTAAATTGGCGATAAGTTAGTGTCCTGGTGACTAGGAATTAACTTTTTACTCTTGGTCATTTTTCAGTCTAGTTTAATCGATCTCAAAGAACATGCATCTTCATTGGCATCAGCAGGGCTGAAAAGAGACTCCAAACTTAAATCTTTAGAAATAGCCATAGAACAAAAGAAAGAAGAGTGTAGTAAGTTGGAAGCACAGTTGAAAAAGGTAAGTTCCATCTTAAAAAAACCAACCAAACAACAACAATCAGAAAAACAAAAATCAACATCCCACACCCTCATTTTAAAAAAATGAGGTTATTCACTCTTCTGGAGTAATAATCTACCCATCTATACTGTTTGCTGATGCTTGCATCAAATACTGCTAACTTATTCTTAAGAGGCTTGTACCAAAGCCACTGGTGAGTTTCAGAAATTATCTTAAATATCTATAGGAGGGAATTCTGAGAAGCTGCTACAAATGAATGAACTGGGTGCAGGACATTGGAGGAGAAGTAGAAGGGCAGAAAGAAATTATCAAACCAGCAATTTCTATTTATATGAATTTATACCACTGTTAGAAGTAGACTGAAATGTTTGAAGCATGGGAAAAAATTATCCAAGAAATGCTGTACTTCTGCTTCCAAAAAGGAAACTCTGGCTAGGTTTGATTTTGGCATTTTTTTGGATTTATTGGTGAACACGTGTTTGCGATAATTAAGCAAAATAATACATAGTTTATCACAACAGTATTTCTTTTCAGCAAGTAGTGGAAGCAAGCATTTAAAGAAAAACATACATATCCTATATTTTATAATGTGGTTTTATTTAAATTGATGCATTAAAGTAGTTTTTGCTTAAATGGTTTGCAAGTTTGTTGATGCTTTTTCTACCATACGTTGTTTCTTTGACCTTTTTCTGTGTCATTTGGTAATGTCTGCTCTCATTGTTTGAACACCAGTCTCATGACATATTTGATGGGCTTAGGCATTATGTTTGACTTCTGCAATTCATGACTAAGTGTATGTGCAACATTCATTTTTTTAATATTGATATCTAATGTTTCATTTTCTAGAAAAGAATATTTGTTCTGTGAATGTTGCCACCATTAGGATAATATTCTGACGCTCTTTCTACCCGGGCTGAGTAGTATCCTGCTCTGTGTTTAAGCACTTTTTAAAATAGCCTTACCTGTGAAGAAGGTATTGTGAAGTGTAAAGGATACCAGAGCGTAAACCTCAGACTCCTCATATTTTTAAATTCAGAACAAGTATATGCAATTAGGTGCCTGTGTTTACACGCTTAGTTGTGGAGAAAAAGGAAGGGAATATTTTTCAATAAATATATACAAAACCTTTTAATAGATATAAAACTTTAAATGTTTGATAGCTTATAAATACTATTGATATCAGAATTAAAATATCCAAATAAGCTATTCTTCTGGAAGCCCTTTATTTTGTTTTGTTAGAAAATGTGGTTTTTTACTTTGCACTTCACTAAAAAATATGCTTCATTTCAATCTGAAATATCTTATTTTCTTCATTTAAAAAACTAGTAATAAAACCCTAAAAGCAAAGATCACTTAAAAAACCCTCCCCAAAAACTCTTGAAAGACTTGAAATCTGAAGTCAATCTTTTATGACTGCGCACGTAAGCACATCATATGGTCATGGAAAAATAAGCACTTATAAAAGTCAGAGTGTCTGGGACATCTTTCATATGAAAAGGGAGTATGTTCCCTGTGTATAAATACAAAGGATTATTAGATGAAAGTTGAAAACATAATAGTTTTATTATATCATAAATACAGCATAAAGCCCCAATGGAAATTCACCCAACATTTGTAGGAGACCAGGTATTTCCACAATAAAATGTAGTTACAACCTTCTTTGTGGGCATGTTTAGTTGAACAGAAACAGTGACTGTTAATGATAGTAGACTCCAAACAGTAATTTTCAATTCACATTTTCTCTAATAAAATGTTTTATGTTCAAACCTGTAAATATCCTGTGTTAAAAGTAATTGGTCCCCAGAAATCGACCTTCACCATGTTTTCACTCCTTACGAAACTAACTGAAACAGAAATCTGGGTAATTCTTGCATATGTCTGAATTAGAGTAGGAGGGAACATCAGCATAGTTCAGAGTAAATTAACCTGCATGTCACATAAGTGTGCTTATGTATGAACATGAACCACTACGGAAGCCAGAAGGAATGGGCATAGTTCATATCTGTTTTTCAAAAGTGACTCCAAAGGACTGTCTCTTATTTTGAGAAATTTGAATGAAGCTTACACATTACTCTGTTCTAAAAATATCACAGAGGAGGCTCTTTTCATTATGGTATTGTACAATCATCATAGTTTAATCTTGATTTATATGTTTTAAGAAGATAGACTAATAAATATGAAAATAGTATTCTGTACACATTTGCTAGGAGTTAGTTTTCCATGAGCACTAATGGTAATAAGTACTATGTCTGAAAGAAAATACGTACAAGGGGCAAGTCCAAACAAAACGTGTAAATTTTTAAAACAAAAATATTTTAAAAGTTTCTCTTCTCTTGTTTCCTCTCCTTCCTGTTTTTGGAGAGAATCAGATTAATTTTTTGATAATAAAGATATTTTTGATTGAATCTGATTAGATAAAAATATTTTTTTAGTATTAGTTAACTGGATTGTTTGCATTTCATCAGGAGAAATCATACTGATTCAAAACCCACTGTTTTAATTTTATAGAGTAGACAAATTTCAAAAAGTTATAAATAGGATATTCATAAAGAGTGATTTTTCATGTGACCAAACTATATTTTGGGACACTAAATAATGATTAAAACCATAGACATGCTTATTAAACTTTTTGTGACAAAGATTATGGATTTAAATTCATATAATTGAAAAAAAAAATCATAAACCCCAGAAGAATACTCAATGCTTTTTTTTTTTTTTTTTTGCCCCAATTCCACAGACTTTTTGTTTACCTACTTTGTATTCAAAAAAAAAGCAGGAATTACCTAATAGGTAGCTAAGAGTTTTATATATGTGTATATATATAAATATGTGTGTGTATATATATATATATATAATCCTATTATCCACTCCACAATATCCTCCTTTTGTTGTTTTTCATTATTTTAAATTTACTTGCTTACTGACATATTTGCAGTTGCTAAAGTACTTTTTGCCAAGCAGTACTGTTAGAAAGTCATTCTGCATAGAAAATTCAGTTGTGTTAAACAAAAGGAAAATAATAAATTTAATGATACAATTTAATTAATCTTTTATTATTACCATCTTTGAAGCTTTGGTGATAAATTGCTGCCTCAGCCAAAAGCACTTCTGGTGATTCATTGCTTGAGACCAGCACTTAATGTATCATCAAAAGTGGACACCTTTCTTTATTTCATGGGTTATTTAACTTGAGAAAGGGAAAGTAACACAAACCTTAAATTTCTTACTCCAGCTATTCTTTTTTAGGAGCCAAAGTCAACATTTATGTTTCCCCAGTGCCTCTCACTTTCACCAAGGAATGTTTAGAATCTTAAATTTCTACTTTCTTATGACAAGTTCTTCTGTGCAAATGCACTGGTTTTGTTGAGCTAATGCTGTTTTCCTGGATCTTTCCTTCTTTTCCTGTCTGTGCTTCACTCCCTTCCAACTTTGCAATGTAGCAAGCTGAACAGTTGTTCAATCAGATGTATAATCCAGTAAGTTCTTTTTTAAATTGCCCGCTGTAACATATGAAAGCATGAGGATCCATTACCTTACTGTGTTGTGCTCTTCCTCTGTGGAGCTTTGCAGAATACCTCTGATGCTCACTATGCTGTATTCATTATATCCAAATGAATGAACTTTGTGGACTTCAAGGCCATTTTAATAATGTAAAATATATTAAATAGGTACATACAGTATTTCTGAGAAAATAAACATCCTAGCCTTTAGGTCCTCAACTTCTCCATTAGAAAGCGCATGCAGATGGTTTTGGTGGTGTTTTAGTTTTTTGTTGTTTTTTTTTTCTTTGCTTTTTAATTCCTCCTTCTGCAGTACTTTATTTGATCCTTCAAACTTAAATAACTTCTAATTTATTCGGTTTCTATTAAGGGACTGAGTTGATTATGTGAATAATAACATCTAGGAAGTGACTGGTACTGTTGTCAAAAGTCTGTACAATTAAAATAGTTCAGATCAGTTTTACTCATAAAAACCTATATACATTCCACGTGTAAATATTAAGAATATGGAAATATTGTATTTAATCAAAGAAAATGCTGAAGTATAAAATGATGAACACAGTGCAGTGTTTGAAAAAGCCAAAAAGTATTACTTTGGCTTGTTTAGCATTATTATTCTTGCCAAAATCTGTTTCAGTTTCACAATGTCTACCCTTTTGACTTGACTGTGTTCCTTTTTCAATTTGAGGAAGAGCTGTTACAAACATTCTCCCTGCAGGGAACAGTTTCCATTTTTTGGCTGAGACGGTTACATTTAATGTGCTGTGAGCATCAGAGGACACAAAAAATTATGTAACTAATAGCAATTTACAAGCTATAGTTTACATACTACTCATAGTTGGAATTACCATGTAATTGAGATAGTATATATAGAAGAACTGGTTTTGTAGCCTAAGTAATGTAATACTATGCATTAGCAAAGGTATTGTCTTCATTGAAGTCAATGGGTTGCCGTTAATGTCAGTGGACCAGAATTCCAGCTGTGAAGTCTATTATTGCTAAGTTTTCACACAGAATCACACAGAATTGCCTAGATTGGAAAAGACCTTTAAGATCATCGAGTCCAATCATTAACTCAACACTGACAAGTCCCTGACTAAACGATGTCCCTCAGCACTATGTTTACATGACTTAAATACTTCCAGGGAAGGGGACTCCACCACTGCCATGGGCAACTTCTTCCAATGCCTGAGAACCCTTTCAGGAAGGAAATTCTTCCTCACATCCACTCTAAACTTCCCTTGGCGCAACTTGAGGCCATTTCCTCTTGTCCTGTCCCTTGTTCCTCGGTTGAACAGACTGACCCCTACCTCACTACAGCCTCCTTTCAGGTAGTTACTTCCAGGGAAGGGGACTCCACCACTGCCATGGGCAACTTCTTCCAATGCCTGAGAACCCTTTCAGGAAGGAAATTCTTCCTCACATCCACTCTAAACTTCCCTTGGCGCAACTTGAGGCCATTTCCTCTTGTCCTGTCCCTTGTTCCTCGGTTGAACAGACTGACCCCTACCTCACTACAGCCTCCTTTCAGGTAGTTGTAGAGAGCAAGAAGGTCTCCCCTGAGCCTCCTTTTCTCCAGGCTCAACAACCCCAGTTTCTGCAGCTGCTCCTCATCACACCTGTGCTCCAGACCCTCACCAGCTTTGCTGCCCTTCTCTGGACAGGCTCCAGCACCTCCATGTCCTTCTTGGAATGAGGGGCCCAAAACTGAACAAAGCACTCAAAGTGTGATCTCACCAGTGCTGAGTACAGGAGTGAGAGAATTCCCATGGTCCTACTGGCCACACTATTCCTAATACAGGCCAAGATGCTATTGGCCTTCTTGGCCACCTGGGCACTCTGCTAATTCATGTTCAGCCAGCTATCAATCAACACCCCCAGGTCCCTCTCTGCTGAGCAGCTCTCCAGTCACTCCTCCTCTAGTTTGTAGCGCTTCTGAGGGTTGTTGTGGCCAAAGTGCATAACCCAGCATTTGACCTTATTGAAACTCATACAATTGGTCTTGGCCCATCAATCTAGTCTCTCTAGATCACTCTGCAGTTCCTCCTTACCCTCAAGTGGATCAACACTTTCATCCACTTTGGTGTCTGCAAACTTACTAAGGGTCCACTTGATCCCCTCATCCAGATCATTGATAAAGATGTTAAACAGGCCTGGCCCCAGTACTGAGCCCTGGGGAACACCACTCATGACTGGCCACCAACTGGATTTAACACTATTCACCACCATTCTTTGGGCATGGCCATCCAGACAGTTTTTTACCCAGCAAAGTATATGCCCATCCAAACCATGAGCAGCCAGTTTCTCCAGGAGAATGCTGTGGGATAGAGTGTCAAAGGCTTTACTAAAGTCCAGATAAACAACATCCACAGCCTTTCTTTCATCCACTGAGTGGGTGACCATGTTGTAGAAAGAGATCAGGTTAGTCAAGCAGGACTTGCCTTTCATAAACCCATCCTGACTGGGCCTGATCATTTGGTTGTCCTGCATGTACTGCATGATGGTACTTAGGATGATCTGCCCCAGATCAGCTTTCCCGGCACTGAAGTCAAACTGACAGGTCTGCAGTTTCCCAGATCCTCTTTCCAGCACTTCTTGTAGATGGGTGTCACCTTGGCTAACTGCCAATCTGCTGGGACCTCCCCAGTCAGCCAGAACTGCTGAAAAATGATGGAAAGTTTTGTAGCTTCTACCCGTGTAATGGATGTGTCATGACTTATGTATGGGAAAAGAGTCCCACAGAATGCACTGCATTCACTTTTAAAGTTATTGGTTAACTGTTTTTAGAATCCAGCCATAAATTGATTAAGTAGCATGAGCCCTGACATTGTCACCTTTGCCATCCAGCACACTGCTGGTCAGAGCTTTACCCTCTGAATGATAAAACCCTTTTCTGTATCATCTTGGATCACCTCTGTGGTAGTTATGTTTCTATTCATATCATTTGCACTCCTACTGTGCATGTCTCTTCAGACTGGAGTATTTTTTGTGTTAGTTTTTCTCTTGATTTTCATAAATGCTTTCCAGTCATTATTTCAATATTAGTTATTCTGCTATATGAAATTTGTTTGTTACTACCTAGTCTATTTTTGTGTGGTATTCCCAAGTCAGTCAGTCCTTTTTTAATTTTATTTTTTCTGCCTTTATGTGCTTAATTTTCAAAAAGACAGCCTGTCAGTGGTTCTTTAATAATGGATATGCAAGATCCTTTTCCTTTGGCACCAGGCAGCAATTGTAGTATGTCCATAAGACAGGTTTTATCAAATAAACTTTTATTGCTCATCTTGTTTCTTCTCCTACTTATATATCAGTCTACTTTTAACAACATTAGTAGTAATAATTGTCTTCTCCCCCAAAACCACTTAAGGTCTTGAAATGAAATTGTTATTTGATTGAAGTCAGTATCAGCATATTCTTTGAATTACACAAGGCCGAAATTTCACCTTTATTCTTTGAGATGGCATAATACCAGTTACCTGAAACATTTTTTTTTGGTACTGTGAATCATTATGGTGCTTTCTTTAATAGAATGTTTCCTTACCTTTTTTTTTTGTTTGAGTATATGTATTATTAAAAAAACCCCAACAAACAGATGGCAATCTAATCTTAAAATACTGAAGTTTAAATGCTTTGTTTGCACATGTCAGAGAAATAACAGTCAATCTCTGAGCAGACCTCTTTTTGGCCATGCAGTAATATAGCTTTGTTTTTGTGTGTGGTGGAATGTATTTTTTCTACTATGTCACACAAGTGTCAACTCCAAGACTTTCATTTATTGCTGAATCTAATGTTTTTTAAATACAGCAATGGATAGAAGTGTTTTATTTTGATACATGTTTTGATATCAAAGTGGAGGCTATATGGAAGGGTTACAAACCCTGCATACTCTATAGTAAAAGATTGCACAATGTCTTCACCTGTGTGAATGAGATGTGAACAGAACTGGGCACACATTTCTTCATGTTTGTTTTGAAAGGTGAACTTTTTGAAATACTTAATTATTGTAAAAAATAGATTATAAGAAGTTACATGATTGTTTTTGTCCTATAAATGCAAATATAACGATGTACTTAGTCTGGAGTTCTGGTGAGAATGTCAATTTTTTTTCTGAATAGTAAAGACTTAATTTTCCAAATGCTTTCTCAGAACAATGTCAGATTAAAATTTAAAGTACTTGCAGAATCCACTCTAAATTGCTTAGAGAAGTCCCTGAAGTTAAATAAAAAACAAGTGAATTTTAAGGAGACTACAAAAATATTAAGGTGGTGGCAATTATTGAAAGTAATCAAATTTGAAGGATCTTACAAAGTAATTTCTTGCATGTAAATTCTGCTGTCTCATTTATTATTTTTATTAAGTACTCAGTTGATTTCTGTATATGTCTGTGTCTGAAGCTTGAAAAGTGAAGTACTATATCTACCCATCCATTTCTATTATGCAGATTAATGCATGCATGATTGTAGCACAAAAATTTAATAGGCTAATTCATGTTGCATGTCTGTACCACACTATTATGGTGTTTCAATAGGAAATTTGTGGTTTACATAAGGAAATGTTTCTTTACTTCTAAAGTATTTGTAGAACTTACGAAGCAAATATCAGAACAGATACATAATTATTGCAAGAATTAGTGAAATTCTAATAGTAGGATGATATGCTGGTTTTATTGAATTGTAAAAATAACATTAAACAGCACAGTTGCAAGATTGACAGACAAAACATCATAAACTAAGTGTGCTAGTTTGAAACTAGCTTAATCACACACACAAGTATTATCATTTACAGGTACTGATTAAGAGAGCTATTACTTTGCTGTTGAAAGGTGTGCAAGAACCAATCACTCTTAGCCATAAAAGCCCCATAAAACTAGAAAATGTATTCTTCCTAAGAAAACAGAGAACTTAAGGAGAAAAGAGAGGACAGAAATAAAAAAAAGATAGAGGAGAGGACAGCAGTAATAGGTAGAGACTTTCTGATTCATGTGATAATGATGCAGCTTCTGGTTAGAAGTGATCCAAGCTTGTCTCCTACACCCTGCAAAGAAGCTAAAGAAATCTGCCCTGTCTGGTGGGAGCAGGGTCAGTATCAGCTGAGCTGCCTTTCATCTCCTTTGGGCCTACTGTTTGACCTCAAAAGTCAAGTTCCATCTGTCAACAAATCACCCTTGATCTGTATATAACAATTAAAAAAAAGTGTCTAGTTCGAATCCAAACACGTCTTTCAAAGCCATAAAATATAATAGGGCACTTGTAAGTAATTCTATGCCTCTGTCCTGGGAATGTCAGATGGATCGTGTTTTTCTCTCTTGTAGTATCAGCAGCTTTGTTTACAACAAGAGGATTCCCTTCAAGGGACTCATTGCAATTTAAGGGTACCACCTGCAGAAAGTTCTTTTTAAAAAAATGTTTTATGATCTTGCTTTCCCTTTTTAACTAACTCTCCTTTCCTTCTTTATGCCCTTGCAGAAATCTGAGTCCTGCCAATAGTCCAAAATATTCTGTAGGAAGTGCTTGTAGAGGTAGAGACAACCAACTTGGTGGTTTGCAGTACTGGGATCTTACTGTTTGCTTGTTTGTTTTAAAGACTAGAAAAATCTTATACTTGTCTTTGAACTGAATGCTTATATTTATTTATATGTGACATTATGGATAACTGCTGCACCTCGAAACCTTATATAGGTTGGATACTTAATCATGTTGGATTTAATTGTATCTTATAGATGCTACTTCGTGTTGAGAACATAGGGAAGTACAATGACCAAATTTGCACTACAGAATTTTCCAAAAACACATTCCACAAATATGGAATGGCATGAGTATCCCAGAAAGCACAAGAATTGAAAATACTTTTGCAGCTTCACATTAATTTTCATAGCACGCTATTGAGGAAGTATTATAGGGCTAAGCTGAAGAATATAATTTATATCTGTTATTTCAGGTGATGTTTTAGTTCTGTGCAGTAGATAATTTGTTCAGTACATTTCTGAGCTGCTGTGTAACAGGAATATTCTGTGAGAGTTGAACATTTGGTACCTTTGCATTGGTGACACAATCATGTTCTTGCCCAATTATGTATTTTTATCATAGAAAGTCCAGTGTGGCAATGAAAAGCAAAAAAAAAAACCCCAACAAAACAACCCAAACCCCAGGCTTTTATCTCTGCTTTTCTTCTGCATTGCTTCATGTCCTGGGATAAAACTAGGGTAGAGGCACATGGGGGAAAAAAGGTTTGGGCTGAAGCTGAGAGTTCTTTCATGCTAAAGTGAAGACAAGATTGGTTAGAGGCAGGAAGGTGGGTGTTTTGCCTCTTTATGAAATGATAGAAGCAAGGCTGGCAAAGTAGTGAATTATACAGTAAAATAAACAGAAGGGAAAGAAAGGTGACAGGAAGGAATATGAAAGAGTGATAGCCTCTAGAAGGGAACTGTGAAATTATGGATTTACCCTTCTGAGAGGAGGAGAAATCTGAAGAGCAATAGGGAACAACAGGCTCTTTGTGCAGGTTTCGTAGTATCTTAAAGGTGGGAGGTGGTTTGTATTGTTATTTTTTTCCCTAGAGTGAATTTACCTTTACCAACATACAGAATTATTTTTATTGTGTGTTCATTTTGGAGAGGTAAAACATTGTCTAATTTCTTAATAGAACTGATGGAAAAATGAAGTGGTTTGCAACTGGAAATTGGTACACAGAATCTCACATAATTGGCCCTGAGTCTGAGTATTACATGTACTTCAAAAATTACAAAGCTAGCTGAGTCAATTTCTTGACAAAATTAACACCCAATATAAAATAAATCAGAGAGCAGGAAGATTTATGAGGATGGAAAGGAATAATCTGTTGCTAGCATGTCACTGAACAGTAAAATCTAGATACTCTTTGGATGCTACCTTGAAATGAGCTCTGTGTTAGGGAAGACGTGTATCTGCATAGAATTCAGAGCTGCAGTATGTATTATTATCCTAAACAGAGAATTGGAAGAGCAAGGCCAGTAAGCTTAGTAGGCTTCTCATATCATCCCCCTGGCTTATTTTGGTAACCAAATAATTATTCAGAATAAAAACCTCACAGTAGGAGAAATAACACTTAAAACCTACTATCTTTTTTCTTATTATCCTCATGCTTAAATGATATGTTACATGCAACCCCCTTAAGTATCTTCCCTAATAATTTCAATTTTTTTAATTGTTGTATTTATGCTAAAGCCAGACTTGTTCTTTATTTATACAGAAGATTTTAACCATTGCAAAGAATATGAACCTTTTATTATCCGTAGTTTAAATTAATTCTTTCCAAAACACGCATGTTTCATTTTGATCTGCATTTCTTTCATTGCTTGCTTGCATTGTCTAGTCCCTGAAATTAAGAAGATAAATAAGTCCATGTCTTCTCTGCGTGATAAGATAGTTGGAGGACCTTCAGTTCTAAATATCCTGAATTTCTGTAAAATTCCTGTGTGTAAAGAGAATGTTATCTGAATTTTCTATGTTTAATGTGCACTGCCTTAAACTACTTGTTTTTTCCTTGCCTGCTCTTTCAAGATGCCAATTAGGAATAATGGGAAGCAAGGGGTAGGCTAAGCATTGCAGTGCATTGTTGTTTCCATCTGTCTGTGATTATTCCCCAAAGTTTAAAGCACTTGATGCCAGATCATGCTCCCATTGAAGTTAATTGAGTTTTTGCCATTAGGTTGATGGGAGTAAGATTGGGCTCTGCACTGTTGTATTCATTGCGTTTTTTCCTGTCTGTGAAACTGCCACCCATCCATGCATGTGTTTGCCAGGTTTGTGCCGTTTTCACCAATGGGCTTGTTCTGATGTTTCAGGTTAAGTATTAACAATAAGAGAAAAAGGATTATTGGGTAAAACGTCTGCTGAAGGCAACTTTTTAGTTTGTTTGTCTTTTAAAAACAGCACTGTATAAGAACAATTTCTTCCTTATAATTCTTTGTATCAAACTGCTTTTGAAACATTTGATGACAGAGTACAATATGTATATATGTACCTCTGTGTGTGTTTATGTATATATATATATATATATATACACACACATATATACACAGACATGGAAAAAGCATATATATATATATATGAGGAAAGAGAGAGAATATGCTTTATTAAGAAATTGCCTATACATTTGAAACACTTTAAAAGCTTTATGTGAATTAAATTAATTACAAGGTGATTTTTTAAATTTAAAAAACACCCTTAGAATGTGGTCAATTTAACATTTAAAAAACCATAATAAATCCCCTCCCTTTCAGGATGATAGCATTTGACTATAATTTTAGACTATAAAGACATTTTAATTCCATTTTGTAATGCTTCTGTAGAAAATATTGTCATCAGACGGAAATACCCATAATCCTTTTTAATGAAAATTTGAACTCCGAGACTGAAGAATAAAAGCTCTCAAAGCTATATAAATTATTGTCATCCTTATGTTTTGGGTTTGTTTGTTGTTTTTTTTTAATATTGATTCTGAAGGCTCATGAGGCTGAAGAGGAGGCACGGATGAATCCAGAGTTTGCAGACAGAATGAAACAGCTTGACAAAGAAGCATCGTACTATAGAGAAGAATGTGGCAAAGCTCAGGCTGAGGTTGACAGACTTCTAGAAATACTCAAGGAAGTAGAGAATGAGAAGAATGACAAAGATAAGAAAATTGCTGAGTTAGAAAGGTAATTCTTGTATTATTTGTCTGACATTGAGTGGTGTTTTTATTTACTTGATCTTCATTGCAGATCAGAGAAGTTGAGTAGAATATGTTTTTTGACAGAATATTTGTTACATCTTGTAAAATTTAATCAGAAATGGAAAAAAATTACCTGAGAACTGCATCTTCTGTCTGCTGACTTTGGAACAATTTAAAGTTTCCACTTTTTTAGTAGTCTCCATAAAAGGAACACATATCGGGAAAGCCATGTGCAATTTACACATAAAACCCTCACAGAAAACCTTGTTGGGGAACACTCTTGTCTTTCTAGAAACTAGCAAACCAAAACTGTCCCCACATGTTTCTACAGTGTGAACAGCATCACTAGTTCTCAGAGGTCTTGAAAAGTATTGGTAAGTAATTCTAACCAGTCTCATGACTATTTAATAATAATTGTAACTATTTCTCAGAGGTTCTGTACTCTTTGTCCACTTCAAATGAATATTTTTCTGATGTTGACCAGGCAATGTCTGTCATATTTTGGGAAGGTTGTACAGTCTTTTCTTAGTGGAAACACGAAGATTTTGGGATCCATTTGTCCTGCACCCTCCATAATTAAATGATTATAGGAACTCTCTCCCATAGAGTACGCTGCATTTTATTTGATTGATAAGCAATTTATATGGATCTGATTTCTTTGTTTACTTCCTGTATTTAGCTACTCTTAGGTAAATGAAAGAATATTTTTGTATAATTGTTTTCTAGTGATCAAATCAGAAAAAAAGTGCTTCATGGTTCCAAAAGAAAAGTTTAAGGGATATCGTTGTTGTGGTTATTGCTGTAGTTCCAGTCAAGACATAGCACTGATCTGTCCTGTTTGGGAGAATTACTATGAAAGAGGGGAAGATCTGCTGGAGTTGTTGGTTACCTTAGGGGGAGAGAAACAACCGGCTTCAAAAGGAAGTTATGTAGAACATCTTTTACTGATGATGACTTATCAACCTTCACAGTTACCTATTACCAAAACTTATCTTTCCCTGCAGCCATTTGACAAAAGTTTAATAATAATAATAATAATATGCTATATAGTTATCAAAGTGTCATGAGAACCAAGACAAATTTAAAGAGAAAAAAGAAGATTTGTACTCAAATAGGACTGAATGTTTACATGAGAACAACTTTAATTAGTAGTTACCTCTCTCATGATATCAGTAGTAGTTTAGAATACTCCAGTGTTTGCATCAATTTTAACGTGTAAAGTAGATACCAGAGGAAGCTAGTAATGGAGAGTGGTCACTTTATGCACCATGACTATGAGTTCTGCCTAAACTCTCCAAGATCCTAAAGCAGCATATTGAAAAAGGATAAGATGATTACTGAATTTATGTGGTCAAGAAAGGGCTGCCCATTCCACCCATCAGTGCATGTACTATAGGGGCAATTACAGACCTAGGCTTATAATACAAGTGACTCCAGGTGGGACAAAGCTGGTGGAAACTGCCTGCATAGTTTTTACAGGAACAGTAACTGATATCCTCATTGGGTTATAAAACCTACTGAATTATCATGTGACACTAGATGCAAGAGTACGCATGCTAAACTTTTGTTCAAGAGGGTAATCTTAAGAGATTTATTAAGTAGCAATCATGTGTGTTGAATGGTTGAATATTAAAATGACAAGATTAAAAGATGAACATGAAGTAGTGAAGCTTGTGATCTAAAATTTTTAGTAAATGTTAATCTGATTTAAATACTATATAAAAAAGAGATAAAGAATCAGTGTAGATCGGTAGATTTATTTGAATTAAATTAGGAGTTATTGATTACAAAGAAACGGGGAACCAAGGGATGCAGCAATATTACAATGGCCCTGTCAGCATACAACCTTTATTGTCCAAGAGCCCTGTAATGGGTCATGTAATGAATAGAATTTTCTATTTTTGCTTTAAAAAAAAAAAAAAAAAATTCATTGCACTTTTATCAGTGAAATTTTGGGACACCAATTTTCAGTCTGTTGTTGTTGATGAGGGTCTTGATACTGAACTGACTTTTCAGAAAATATTTTGGTACCACTGAGTAAACACAGATTTTCTGAACAAGATATACTGTACTTTGAGTGTGATGATGTAGTTGAGCTTTCCTATGAACCTTTAAGTCCTTCTGTAATGCTTACAATAAGATACCTGTGGCATGACCAGCTAAGGACAGTTGTATGTTGCAATTCTGGGGAACCATCATTAAGTTATTTAATGTAAACTAGGAAAAAAAATTACATAAAAGTTATCTATTATTGATTTAATCAACAGAAGTTGCTGCCTTTACTTGGTAATGGAGTCTTAAAGCTACTTTTCACCATGCATAAGAACAGGCACAAATTTGTTGATTAGTGCAGTAAGGCTAACAATCTGTCAGCAATACAAAGGTGTAATAGGGAAATATTTTTAGAGAGTGGGTATCTAACACTTCTTACTAATCAGGCTTACCTTACGTTTCTCTAAAATTTAATTTATTTACTCTCCCTCTTCCTTATTTTCTAAAAAGCATTGGACTAAAGATCTAAATCTATATATAACTGTACCACCTGTTGGTGTCCCTAGAGAGAGAACTTTGATGTTGAAATTCCCCTTTCTAGGGGGTTAGGTGGAGTGTAAATTGCTGTAACATTTTATGAAGTGCTACTACTTTTTCTGTTTGTAATGACTACTTGATTGGCTCATTATTGAAGGGAAGAGGTGGAGCCAAAGCTCAGTTTACCCACTTTATGGGAATAAAGCATTGTGAAAATGACTGCAACTTCAACAGAAGCATATTTGAAAATGTTCTTTCCTCTTGTCCCGCTGTTTTGTATCTTATGTAACATGTTCTAGGTTGCTATTTTCTCTCCTTACTTTTTCTCCTTCTTTTTTTTCCTGCTCAGAAACAGCATATCTTCAATGTTTCCCATACCTTCAGATGCAAGGGTTTCTCTGGTGTTTTGTAGGAAAATTGAATGTTGTTTTGAAATGTATTTGTTGGTTAATAGCTTGCTGGGATCCATGTTTGCTGCTATGTCAACATTTTTACATTGCAAGATAATTGCAACAACATAAATTCTCAAAATTTATAAACATAAATTTCTGAGAGAGTTATCGTTCTACAGTATTGGAAGCTATGGTATCTTCAGTATTTATTATATTGACAGTATTTATTATATTGACATATACATTTGTCAGCATAATGAGGTGTACTTGTATAAATCAGTTTGAAAAGTAAAAACATTCATAATAAAATTGTAATTTACAAATTCAAATAAGAATTAAAACAAGGTAATGAGTACTAATATTCTACTACTTGTCAGAAAGTATTGACACAGAAAGTGTCAAGTGCTCAAGGGTAGAAATATCTGCTTCAAGATACAGGCAATTAAATTTGTAAGTGTATGCTATTTGGCAGATGAACATTATTAATAATCCTGAAGAATATTTCATATGAATGGTTATTCTTTTGGTTTTAATATGATTTTCTTGCCTCATAAACTATCACACTTCCAAGTTGCATCACTTAAGATTCATGCTTCTTATTATTCCTCATATGTACAAACATATTGGATCATCTTAAATCTTAATATGAAGGGCTTAGCCAAAGGGAGGTAACTGCAGATGAAAAGGAACTGTCAGGATGGAAGGAGTATATTGTTTAATGCTTTTATTAATGGTGTTAGAATGGAAAGTATATTTATGAAATATGCTAGGGAGTTTGAATCATGAAATTAAGTGCAATACAATAGTACAAAATGCATGATTGTGAAGTAAGACTGCCTGCTGTAAGCTAAGGATAATCCTTGACACAATTTAGGAAGGATGAATTTGTTTATGACAGTGTCATTATGGGCCATCTAAATAATGAAGCAGGCATCTAAATAATGAGGTGTGAATCCTGATATGTCAGAATAAATGCTTGCAGTAAGGATACGAAGGTATTAATGTCATGAAGTGCTGGCAAGACTCCATGTGGAACCCTGCTGTATACTTCTCATCAGTCATATTTGAGAAGGTTGAATTAAAACTGCAAACAGGTGCAGAGAGGGCTGGCAGGATAATTAAGGGAGTGGAGTGCTCATGTCACAGGAGGAGTACAGTGGTTTGTTTCTCTGGCAAAACAAAGACTCGGTAGGGATGCTTATTCTCTGTAAATATGTGAAGGGGTAAGCACTGAAGTGAAAGAGTGATTTAAGTAAAAAAAGTGTTGGCACATAATACAACAGATATAAATTATTCATTAATAAATATAGACTGAAAAGAGAAAGAAAGGAAGAAAAAGTTTTCTAATTCTCAGATGAATGAAGGCTCTGGCACAGCTTTCTAAAAAAAAAAACAAAGGGAATGAGAAACCTAACTGGTTTAAAGATGCAGCTTGATAAATTTTGAACCTGATTATGACGTGTGGCTGCCTGCACAAGTTCAGTCCTCAGAACCAGATTCTTCCTCATAATTTTATGCTCTTACAAGAAGAGCTCTAACAACTTTCTTATGCTGTTAGAAACCTGTGTGCATGTTATTACCATGTTAACTTTACCTTATTTAACATCCCATAAATATCTATGTGAACACATTGCTTATATTGAGTGTTTTTTTAGGGATGAGAACTGTAACTAAATGCTCTCAGAATGCAAGAAATGCAGGTATCCGGTTGCTTATATTGTGCCCTGTGGATTAAATCAGAAGGAATGGGAGAAAAAAGGACACTGTATGAACATGTGTGAAACTGAGGATGAAAATGAGCAAAGAAGCTTCCCTTCCTCATGGTTCTGACACTGTAAACAACATTCCAGCTGTTCTCTGGAACCTCATTTAATGGGATGACAAATTCTGTGCTGGAAAGCAGTGTATTTGGAGGAAAAGAACTAGATTAATAATTAATTTCTCAGGCAGGGCGCTATTTAAAAATTCCTTGTTGTCAACTGATTTGAGTGCCCTTACTGGAGAGACCAGACTGCCTATGAAGCAGCAAAACACAGTTCAGGACACAGTGGTCTTTTAACTTTAGTCATCCCCAGGGACACAGAAAGAGTTTGGGCAAAGGCTGATAAGAGATAGGGCAGGACTAGCATGTTATCTACCTCCTTTAAGAGAACTGACTGTGAAAGGATAAATATTGGAATCCTAATTAGACTGTTTCTGGTTTAAGAGTGAAATGCTGTAGCTTGATGATGAAGTGATGAGAACATAGTGTAGATTGCAAAATCTTGGATCTGCCTTTCTCCAGTAGTATGTTAGTTGGTTGGTCATTTGATTGAGTGTAGCTCCTTAGCAAAGCTTACAACAATGCAAAAGCTCATTTAAAAATACTATACTAGCTTTGAGACAAAAGCACTTTGCTTCTGAACAAGTGGTTTGTTTTTTTTGTTATCCACTTCCCGTATGCAGTGCTAAGTTTTGGGTAATAACACTATAGATGCACATTTAAGCTCTTGGGGTGTTCAGACTACAATTAATTCATTCTGAATTGATTTGGATTTGAATTCTGATGGAAATAAGTCCACACAGCACTGACAATTCATTGCATAAATGATAAAACATCAGCATATGGAATAATTGTGTTCAAAAAAGTATTTTTGTGGCTTTTAAAAAATTTCATTTTCATAAGTGAATGAAAAACTGTGCACCAGTGGCAGCTTTAAGGATTGGTCTACCTGGGTGTCAGGCAGGGATTTTTTTTTTTTTGGTCTTAATTGAAAGGGCATGTTAGGTATTATTTCACAAATAAGTTATCAAGTGTCAGAGTATTTTCAGTGAGAAGTATTAGCCGTATTCTTCAGACTAAAGAAAAAAATTGCCGTTAGTGTTAGAAGGGGCTGTATTTCCTGGGGATACAAATCTGTGTCTTTGATTATTAGGTACAGTGGTTTGTGGACTTCTAAATGATATCTTTGAACAAGCTACCAAATTGTTTCACTGTTTTGGCTTTCATGGTAAGACTTAATGTGCATCATCAAACCTGTGTTAATTCAAAAGAAGACCTTCTGGTGTATGATGAGACATTTGTGTGGCAGCAAACACTATCAATATCCACCTAACTTATTTGTTCCATTAGGTGTGTGTATGCATTTGCATTGTTATAATTATGGATGGTTTTCCACAGTCCACAAATGACAAGGTGTCATTTTACTTTAAATTTCTATTTATTCAGTGCACAGGAAGCATATACTGCTACAGAAATTTTATTTTACTTCTTGCTTTCCCTTCCCTTTCCTTTCCCTTTTTTTTTTTTTTTTAATAAAATCTGCTGATATAACATCTGCTTGTTATGTTTTTAAAGAACTAATGTGTTCCTCCCTTTATTCTCTTTTGCTGTCTTCCTCCCTATATGTTTTTCTCCAAACTGCTGCTTTCATCCCTACTCCAACCAGCTTGACTTCCAGGTCAGTATTTTCTGCTCTCCTATTTAATGCTTCTTCCGCAATGAAGGTTTTCATTGATGCTTCATTTATTTGGCCATTTTGATTCCATATTAATAAGTTCTGTTTATCCTTTTTTGTTTGGTTTTTTTTTGGTTTTAATTCTGCTTGTCCCTATTGTGAAGTTTTTGGTCGTTCAACTTATAGATCAGAAACTTTACAGTAAATGAATGCTTTTGTCAAAGTCTGTAAGAAAAAAATGTTTATTAATGACATATTTGTAAGTTTTGTGTGAAAATTTTCTTCTTTCAGTTTTACTTTTATTATCTTTGCTTAGGGTGTTCAGCATTGTGAATAACTTTTTGGTAGACAACTCAACCCAGTAGGTAATGGATTGAACAATAGCAATAGTATACAGAGAGATTTGTACTCAAGATCAGAGACTTTAATATTTTACCATCGCTTTTACCATCACTGCTTTTACTGCAAACATAGTAGGAAGAGTTGGAGTGGTTCAGCAACTTCTAGCTGTTTGTGCTGGCCAGATTCTGGACCAGCATGTAACTGCAAGGGAAGTGTATGTATGTGTGTGTTTTATCTGCTGTGTTTATATATGGCATTGTCTAGTCAGATTCATGTTTTTCTTTCTTCCAGATTTTAGATCAGTTTAGTTAGTGTTTGTGCTTATGCACTGTTTTTCAGTAATCTTATCAAGTGGTATTACATGTATTGTGGTGCTTGTTGAAAGTAAAAATTGATCTACTCAACATTTTTTTTCTCTTAGTAGGCCTTGATGTTAATTTTTCTTTGTCATGTTTATGAATGACTGTAAAGTGTGAATTAGTGAAGTCTTAAAACACCTACTTGGTATTTTAGAAACTAATAACTTTATATGGTTTGGACTACAGGTTCATCTGCTTCTTCCTTTCCTCATTCATTTCAGAGTGTGGCTTTTTTTTTTTTTTTTCATGTGACAGGTATTTTAGACAGTTCTATACTCAAGCTCATCCCTTATTTTTCAATTTCTGAAATTGGTGATTGAAACTTCCACATAGTTTTGTTTACTGTACTGAAGAAGCTTTGCTTTAGGCATGAACAGACCTAGTTTTCAATCGTTAAGTTAGAAAGTGTTTACTACTTCTTCGATCAATCAGACTTGAGTATAAAGAAGGGTGTTATACTGCAAAGACTTTCCAGGTGGATTTCAGGTACCAAAGTTTTGCATTTTCAGATATGATTTCAAGGTAGCAAATTGTCATTCAACACATTAAAACTAGAATCCCAGCAGATGTCCAGTCTGCCTTCATGATATGTTTCCAGAAATTTTATATCAATGTATACTTTTTGCACAGCATTGTTCGTAGAGAAGCAGAGCTTGCCAGTTTTTGAGAGTTTTGGTATCTTAGTCTCAAAACCAAGGACATTTCACATTTCACAGCTGAGTTGTGTCAGTGTAGTTTGTGATGTAGATGCCTTCAAACTATAAGGCAGAAGATGGTGCGTTATGACAAAATTGACAAGACAAGGTTTTTTTTTCCTCATGTGCTTTAACGCACATAACAATTGCAAGTTACTTTCCAGCTGGAAAATTTTGTTTCTGAAACTTGAGGCTTATTGAGTACAGTAATTAATCACATGAACACTTTTTATTATCTATCTACTACAAGCATATTTTAATGTGTTTGGATGGATAGTTATTAAACTTGAATTATAAGGATACTTAAACAATATGTTTTCAGAATATTTATTTCTTCCAGAAGTTAATTGAATGCATTTACTCTCAAGTTAGCTATGATGAAATTATTGTCTGAATGTGACCACTCTGACATTTCTATCAGAACATACTCAGCATTGTTTAAGAATCTCTCTAGCCAGAGAGAGCTTAAATAAAGGTATTATGCTATGCAGTTGTCATTATGGTTGATTTCACTAGAATTCAGTGATTGGTATGCAGAAACATTTGTTCAGCGGTTGGAGGTGCAATTTCTGTTATGTTTTATTGACCTAAAAAACCAGCTGACCTTGCTGAAGCAAACTGTCCTCATAACCCTGCCAACTTTCATCCCTAGAGTCCTAGATAAGTTGTAGTCCGTGGCTAAAGTTTGTTGTGCCATTTCAGTGAAGTGTTAAGTTTTTGCAGCTTGAATCATCATTACAGTCAAAACTTAGTTTAAGAAACAGTTCTATTCATTTCTTTAATTTCTGCTAATCAGTATGTTCTTAGCTGTCATTTGATTAATCTGTATTTATACGGAGTTAGAATGATTAGAAAAAATGCTACATCTGTTTTATAACATGACGGGCTATTGGCCCTGATGGCAAAAAAGAAAATTGAATACATTGGCATAATCCCCCCCCATGTGTGTCTACCTATACAATACAAAATGTTCTGAGCACCAGAATCAATACAGTAATGTTGTTTGTTTTCTCACTTAGGTTACAGCATGTTATGTACTCCCTGAACTTTTCTGCCTGCAGATAAAGAGGAGATTTTTTTCCATGTATAATATACTGACCAGTGCTAGAAATTTTCCCACCAGCCTCTGATGCTGGTCCTCCTACTTGTTTCCGTGGGAGGCTAGAGCTCAATGAGAAGTGTGAGGCAAGGTTTAACGGAGTTTTAAATTTAACTTAGGAGCCTTCCACAGTTTTGTCAAATGTCAGTTTGATGGCTCCAAGGGCAGAGTGATATGTTGTTCAAAGATAATTTCCCTGGAGAAATAGAGATAGTGTACTAATGAAAACTGAGAGAATCTGTGATATACATTACTCTTCTGAGAGACTGGTTATTCTGAGTGAGAAACAGTTGTCACATTGGATAACAGGCAGATTGTTTTCATGTCTTTCTGTTTTAGTCTGTTTACTACCTGTACAGAATCAACATTTTAACGTTGTGCACATTTTAACATTTAAACTTTTTGAAACAGGTGAAGATTTGAGAAGAGGTTATTTAGATTTATCTGATTATATGTGTGGGTTTGAATTTGTGTAAATACACATTTAATTTTATTTAAGAAATAGTAAAGTAGAAAACATTTTCTTGGAATTCTGTTTTCTTTTAAAAAAAAATTAATAATATATTACAAAATAAGCAGAAATCATAGTGATAAACAATAAAAAGATACAAATGGGTCACTGGGACAGGATACTGAATTATAGTTCATTTTTATGCCACTCACTCCTGAACCTGTCTGCTCAGTTCTATACTCCGCTCTTTCAATTTGCTTATAGGCATGTAGAGATTAAAATAATAATTTCTGACACAACTGAAAATGCATTATTTAAATAAGGAAGGCTATTTTATAATTTCTCAGTGATGTGATTTTTTTTTTTTTTGTTTTGATTTGGAGTGTACATACTCAGTGGAAATAAATGGATATGCAGCATAACCTAGATATGAAGTGAAAAGAGCTCTACATCTCTGAAGAAAAAATATCCACTTTGGACTGGGTTGGACCTGACATCACTATTCTGTGTTGGGGAAGAGAGAACATAAGGAGCTGTTACTCTTTCCATTTCATGATTGCTAATTTCAAAACAGAGCAGTATTTCTTACGCTTCTCTAGACTTGCTGCTCCCACTAGTTTTCCCCAGCGGGAAGATCCACAGAGCATATTTCTTTACCTCTTGAATGTGTGAATAAAGTAGCTGTACAGCACTCCTCTGGGGAGCTTGGTGACTGCCTGGGTGCAATGCTGTCAGGATTCCCAGTGTACAGTGGAGGGGTGTCTGTGTGAAGAATCATTGTGAGATAGCACAGCTTACCCTCAAAAAGCTGTGACTGAAAAGAGACAGGGGAACTAAATTTAGGAATTGGGCTGTTGGTGGAACCACTTCCACTTGCCTTGTTTGCTTCCATAGTGCAGGAACAACATGCCTGGACAACATGAAGGTGACTGGATTGAAATGCTGTAATCTGAATAAGGGGAAGTTAGTATGTGAAAACAAGAAATCATACAAAGTGTACCTGATTTATTTGGAGGTCTGAAGAGGTTACTGCAAAAGCATGGAAAGTTTGATTTATGTATTGAAGGATAATGGCTGGATCGATCCTGAGAATTGCTTGGTTGAGCCAGGAGTTGCACTGGAAAGATTTGATTCAGAGGGAAATTGCAACGAAATATGAAGTGCAGCAGAGGAGGTTTGGTGCTGATTGCTGTCAGGCTGAGCTGGGCATGCTGTGGAGCAGCTGGATGCAGAGAATAACTGGACAGAGTCAGGAGTTGGTGGACTTTTTTTTTTTTTTTTTTTTAAAGGGAAAAAAAAGGAAAAAGCTTACCTAGTCAACAACTGGAAAGGACCTGATGAAACAGCAGCAGCAGGACTGCAACTCCTTGATTGCAATTATCAGGCAACAAACTATTTCCAGTTACTGGTTACAGTTATTGCTAATGTTATCAATTAATAAAACAGCTGAGCCAGCAATTGCCATATTAAAGCAGATGAGATATCCTTCTCATCTAGTGTCCTGTCATCAGCAGTATTTTCTTTTTAAAAATAAGATCAGAAGAAAATGCACAACAATTCTTGGTGTACCAGAGATGTGTCACAGATGAGTCTTCTGGTGCAGATTTCACACGTGTTCATATAAAGTGTCATCCAGTAAGAATGTGCTGAGAAAGGCAGTAGTACAATGCGCTGTATTGGAGTTTCAGTGGTTGCAGTGCAGATATGTGTTGAAACAAAGTGATATGAACCATAGTTTGGAACAGGATTTTAGTAGGTCTTTTTCATTCATGCATTATCCTCATGTGGATATTTCTAGCATCTCTCTAGGGCTTTGGAGGGAACTGTGTCAGACTAAACACTTCTTAAACAAAGATTTTGGAAAACTTCCCAGATTGCGTGTTAGGTAAACCCTTCCTCCCATGTTTTTGTCTTTGAGGTGAGAAATGTTTCAGTGACTTCTGTGACACTCACTTTATTTCTACCAGGCAGAGCTGTAGGTTCTCTCAAGGCAACAATACCTTTTGTGGTGCATTTGGAGGCAAAATAGTTGTCACACTGAAGCACTGTCGTAATCT